AGAGAGAGAGAGAGAGAGAGAGAGAGAGAGAGAGTGAGAGTGAGAGTGAGAGAGTCCTTTATCATACACCTGTCCCGATATATTGCGGTCAGTTCACGTCCTCCCTCATACCCCCTCTCCCCCCTCCCTTGGGATCCAAATTTAACCTACTAACTTTTAGTGCCTGTGTTAGTGTCCTGGTCGTGGCAGGCTGCAGTCAGGTATTATCAGATTACAGTGTCACGGTTTGGCTGGGGATACCATACCCCCCTCCCCCCTCCCGCCCCCCTCTGTTCCGTAGAGCAAGGTACCTACACATGTATGTATGATAATTATACACATACAAAAGCTCCCATGAACACTAAAACACTCACACACACACACAAACACACACACACACACATACACACACACATACACACACACATACACACACACACACACACTTACGCTCGGGTGCACTCAGACACATGCATGAGCAGGATGAACGTTAGCATAACAGTTCAACAGTCTACATAGCCCAGGAATCCATTCTTCCACGAGAAATATTCATAGACATTTAAACCGTCTATTCTCATCTCCCCGTTGATCCCAGAGAAAAATCGACTGTGGATTTAGACAGCTTGTACTTGACTTACCAGTGGCTTTAAAAGATATCTATGGAGGAATTGGAGTATTTGTCAATGTCTGTTTCTGCGATTCGTCTTTATTTATTGCAAAGAAATCATGTCATGTTGCGAGCCAACTTGAGCCTTCCATCCATTGGGATTTTTTTAACCTACCAGCTATATCCGGGTTGATGTAGTGGCGTCGGGCGAAAAACAGGCGTTTACCCCATCGTTTTTTTTTAAGGGAGAGTGTGTGTGGGGGGGGGGGGGTCAAAACTTAGCTCTACCCATTTCAGCATCTGGTGTATTTTAATATTATATCTTAAAGTCTGATGATGTATCAATTTGGTGCATTTATAGTGAAAATAAGCAGTGTTGAAAGGGACGTAAACTTGACAATACCTAATGACATACAGTTGAACATCTTATAACAACTATAACACAAAAAAGAAACATAAAGAACGGGCTACATTATATAATCGAAAACAAATAACGAAGATTAGCAACTGGAACAATGGTATGCATTCTAAACTATAAGCCAAACTTGTTCCCAGTTTTCAGAGCTTTTATGTGATTTATACGACCTTCATTAGTTGATGTTATTCAAAATCCGCTTTGTTTAACACATCTATGACATAAGCGGATAGGAAATAATTCGTTTAATGCCAGTGCAACGACAGCTCATGTTCACCGAGTGCACAATGACTATACGACAATGTGATTAAAGGTGACTTACGTCATGCATCTGCTACAAGCAGGGAACGAGAGTATAGATCTAGCTGACGGTCTCTGTCAGTGAATCAGAGCTTTAGGAATGAGAGTATAGATCTAGCTCACGGTCTCTGTCAGTGAATCAGAGCTTAAGAAACGAGAGTATAGATCTAGCTCACGGTCTCTGTCAGTGAATCAGAGCTTTAGGAACGAGAGTATAGATCTAGCTCTCGGTCTCTAACAGTGAATCAGAGCTTTAGGAACGAGAGTATAGATCTAGCTCAAGTTTCAATAAGTTAGCCTAAGCAGAGCAGCAGAGCTTCAGCTATTTGCATGAACGATTAGTCATAGCTACGCAAAATCCTCTGGCTGTCGAAAAGTGCGCCGATTTTACATTATTATCCTTGTGGGGGAAAATTTAGGTTGTAGTGAGATGTGCAGTGCATTACGACTGGCAGTTCTTTGATTTAAAGTATGGACACACACCCCCCTCCCCGTCAACTCCATCACCGCCCCGACCAAAGCCTTTGATCTTTTTCCAAAGATTGTATAAGCCAAACGGGTAGAAGCGTCGGATAAAAGTAAAAGCAAAGTAAATCTGGTCTGGCAGTAAAACGACCTAAAGGCTCAGCATTGACAGTTCTCAATATCCTAAGATACAGACACCGCGATAAACAAACATCCTATTGTTGGTCGCCACATAGCAATGTAACGGCGTCTGAGATGTGGCAGTATTGTTAGGGGCTTCGTGGTCGCATGAAGAAAACTAGAGTTCCTTTCCCATGTGGCGAGAATGCTATTATCGAGAATCACGAACTGTCTGCTGGGATAGTGTATCTCTTTCAGCCGGGGTTGGGCCTTGGAGAGCTGAGTCGGAGACAGCCTCCTGAATGATCTAAATTGAGTCGAATGGAGAGTAAAAATATCCTAAATGAATAAACATCTCTGCGCCCCTGTTTTTTTTCTGTGCAGGGTAAGCTTGTTTTACTCAAGGGCATACCCAAGTGACCACTCACCAACAAACTAGGCCATTGACATTTCTTGACATTCTCCGTAAACTCTTTGCGACCCTAAGTGCCCCGGGCGCTGAAACCAAGCTACGACTAATTTACTTCGATTATTCTTTAAATGCCGAAATTATGTTTCTCGCCCCTTTGAAAGTAGTCTGCAGGTACTGCAATTTTCTTCTTTTTTTAATTGAAAGAACTAGGAAAGAAGGAGGCAGGGGAAAAAAAGTTCCGAGCCATTTACACAAAACGATCGAAAACAAACGTCATAAAACGCTGGGTACAAACGGGGAAAAAATCTAGTCTTCCTCTCGCAGGATTCTAGAAATGCGTATTATCGTGGCGTACAATTTCCTCTGAATCCCCTTTCTCTTATCTGTCCTCTCTGAGCCAGCGATAAATGTGGTCGTGAACGTTTGACCTTCTGCTTCAGCCCGGATCAATCTCCCGAGAGCTGCGATTAACTTGATTCATAAATATACACGTGCGCAGTACCCCAGTACTTGATTCAAACACCCTTAACCAAGTGGCATAGAATTACCACTGACTGACACAGTTCTTTTGGTTTAAAAAAAAAAGGAACGACGTTTATAAACGCTCGAAAAAATATTTTAATTCCATCACTGCATATTACTCGAAACTTTTAAAGCTCCTTCCTAAAAATTTCAAAGCTGGTTGGTCAGTGAAAGGGTTAAGAGAATACAAAACCTCATAACCTCTTTGCAAAAACAACATTGACAACCCCCCCCCCCTTTCCAAAAAAAAAAAAGAAAAGAAAAGAAAAGACACACAATAATTTTGAAATACCTTCAAAGCGAACCTCCCAGCAAAGGTTTCTCCTAGCCTACGAGTAAAATGTGAGCAGGAGAAGCAACAACTGACTCTAATCTATCTCCCCGTACGTGTGAGTGGCTTTATACAGCGGAGACACTGCTCGCTCGCCTCGGCTTCACGCGCGCGCGGGGCGAAACTCGGTGACGCACGATGAAACAGTGGGGGGGGGAGATGTTGTGACATACGCGTCCCGCGAGGTGATAATACTTGAGGTGTACAATACATTTTTTTCTATCTGTTTCTGGTGTATATAATGTCTTTCCTTTTCTTTTTTTCATTTGGCCCTCTCTCATTCTATGTTTCTCTCTTTGTTGATCTAGATCTATTTCTTTCTTTCTTTCTCTATCCCTATCTCCCTCGCTCTCTCGTTCTTTCTCTTTTTCTTTCACTCTGCGTCTTTAACCCTGACCCCACTCTCTCTCTCTCTTTCCAATCCCACCTCGCCCTCGTCTCTATCCAACCCCTCTCTCTAACTTTACCTCCCCCCTCTCTCACACACATACATGTAATGCAAACACACACTTACACACACACACACACACACACACACACACACA